ATGCTGGAGCCTGTGGGCAGAGCACATGGAGCTTCCAGCTACCAAGCCTGGGGTCAACTCCCCCTGCCTGCACTCACCTTGGCACAGATTGTGCAGGAAGACATCAAAGAAAGGGATGCTGATGGGCTGGTGGCTCCGGCGGTGCTCCTCAATCTGTCCCAGGACCAGCTGTGGAATGGGATAAGGCTCTTACCAGGGGCCCCATGTCCTCCTCCCCTCAGCCCCCGCAGGGCTGTGCCAGCCAGAGAGCAGCCTGATGCCCCTAGACCCAAATCCCCAGCACAGCCGTGCCTCCCCAGGCCCACCTGGATGCAGCCAGCCAAGATGCTGCTCGTCAGCTTCTTGTAGAGGCTGGCGTACTTCTCACACTCCATCACCAGGTCCAGCAGGGCCGGCGCCAGCGATGGGACTGTGCTGTGCTTTTCCAGGGCTTTGGACAGAGCCTCCTGGGTGCCCACGTGGCACATCACCACCACACAGTCCTTGCTGGCGCTGCCCAGGCGGTGCAGGAAGCCAACAACCTCCTGCAGCACCTACTGAGACGCAGCCATGAGCAGATGGGGCACTGCTGGCAACTCCCCAGGCCCCCCTGTCAGCCAGAGCTGCAGCTCCATTCCCCTCATCCCAACCCCACCAGCACCTACCAGAGCCTGGCAGGACACAGCCAGACTGGGCATGTGGCCACCAGGATATGGCCAGGACAGCCGCTCCCCAGCTCTCCCAGCACCTCGGACACAAGGCCAGGTTGCCACCAGCAGGGCCCTGCTTGCCCAGCGCCGGGCCCGGCTGAGGCATGGCCAGCACAGTCACCCCTGCCTGCCGGGAGTCCCGGGGCCCCCTCACCTCCCAGCTGCTGCTGTGGGTGCTCAGGAAGGACACACAGGGCTCCACACACTCATGCCAGGGCAGCACATCCTCCTGATAACTGTCCAGGAACTTGTTCAGGATCCTGGGTGACGGAGGGGGACTGCTCAGGCCAGGGCACGGGGACAGCAGTGCTACAGGCACCCCTGCTTCCCTGTCCCACCTGGAAGGCACTTCTCACGTACTGGGAACCAAGGCTCCCCTGGCACCTTGCACACCGCACCAGCACCCAGGCATGTCCTCTGCTGCCCCTGCATGTCCCCACCAGCACCTAGGCAGATGCTGCTGTTTCCCCACACGACCCTATGCCCCAGGACACTCCAATCAGCACCTGCCTATGTGCTGGGGTGAGCCTGCCCCCAGTGCAGAACACCCCCACCAGCACCCACAAACATGCACTGGGTAGCCCCAACGTGACCACCAGCATTCACACACCTACTGAAGGGGTCCCAGACCCCCTAATCGCCCTGCACCCACCTGAGGATGCTCAGGCTCACAGCCTTCTCTGTCCCCAGCAGCTCCAAGCTGCGCAGCAACAGCCGGAAGCAGCTGTGGTCCTGCAGCAGCTGGGTCACCTGGCCAGAGGGAACAGGGCCTTGGCTGCAGAGCTGCCGCTCCAGGGCCACCACCACCTCTTTGGACAAGATCCCGTCGTCCAGGCCACCCAGCAGCATCTGCACACCCTTCGGGTCCAACGGGACCTCTCCGCCTGCCATGACGAGGACACGTGAGCCCAGCCTGGGCTCACTCGAGCAGCAGCAGCCCCTCAGGCTGCTCTGCCCTGTCAGGCCAGGCAGCCCTGCTTGTGGCACCCACGGGGCCGTGGCACGGACAAGGTGGGCAGCCTGGTACCTGCAGCCTCCGGGCCCAGGGGCAGCCAGTGCTCTGCCAGGCGATTGATGGTGCTGAGGGCCAGCACTGCCTGGGGGCAGCCGCTGCTCTGCCCATCCCTCCAGCAGCTCTGCAGCACCGCCAAGAGATCGCAGCTCGCCAGCTGCTCCGCCAGGCCCCGGTGCCCGTCCATCAGCATGTTCACCACCAGCAGGCCGTTCTGCACCCCTGAGGAGCCCCTGCAGAGACATAGCCGTGCTACTCTCCTCCCCCAGGCACAGAGCCTCTCCTGCACCCACAAACCACCTGCCTGCCCTGCTCATCCTTCCCCTGCAGATTCCCCCAACCTCAGCTGCTCCCCATATTCTGTTCCTACCCAGGGACCTTCTGCATGGTGCTCAGGGCAGCAGGGATGCTCCTCAGCAGGCTGGCGGAGCCCTCACTGCAGGCAGAGCCAATGCTGGCAAAGATCTCCCGCAGCACCTGCGCATCACCGTGGTTCCAGGGCAAGCACTTCCCACCGGCACCTCCCAGCTCACCATCCGCAGCTCCCACCAGCACCTTCAGGGCCTGCGAGGACAAGAGCAGCGCACAGGGCAGCGGCCCCTCTGCCACCCCCGGGGCAGCCGCGCAAGCCCTGCCTACCCCCGGCACCCTTGGGCACTCACCGCCAGCCCGGCCTGCTGCACCAGAGCAGAGCAGCCGTGCTGCTGCATGCAGCCCAACACGGCCCGCACGCCACCCTCTGTGGCAAAAGGCACTCGCCACTCGTACCGGGCCAGCAGCACGGCCAGCAGCCGCAGTGTCACTGCCACCAGCGCCTTCTCTGCCACCTCCGTCCTCAGCAGCTCCACGGCCACCTGCACTAGCTTCTCCCTGCATGGGACAAGACACCTCAGACACAACCGCCTGTCACTGCCACTGCCAGCACCCTGGGCCGCGCCAGTCACCTCCTTCCTGCCCACCCTGCAGCTGGGACTGCCTCGCGAATGAGCCTGCCTGGGACAAAGGCACACAAAAGCCACCTCTCTTGCACACTGCACCCTTCACACTCCCACTGCCACCTCCCGCTCTTCCAGCTCAGCACTGTCCCCCACCCTGCCCACAGGGCCCTCCCCAGACAGCAGGAGGGGTGTGCAGCACCCCAGGACTCACCCAGCACTCCCCATGCCCAGCCCGCCCTGGGCTGTACCGATTTGCTGCTCCAACTTGGGCTCCTTCTCCAGGATCTCCAGGATGTGCTTGAGTCCAGCTAAGCGCAGCCCCATGGCTGAGCTGCTGCTCTGGATCACATCCACCACAGCTGCAACCTTGGCCAACGAGCTGCTCTCACTCAGCCCCTTGGAGCTGCCCAGCACTGGCCGGAGGGATGGAGGCGTCAGGGCAGCGCTCACACTTCCAGCAGCTCCCGGGGTGCCCCACACCCACAGACCCAGCACCCACGCGCACCCCCACTTCGGGCAACCCGTGCCTGCAAGGCCCCCATACCTTGCCCAGAGCCCTCCCCTCTGGAGGCAGCAGTGCTGCTGCCAGCACCGAGCCTGTGCCCCAGTGTGTGGCAGGACATTACCCTGGCTCTGCTCCTCCATCATCTCTGGCAAGAACAGCCCTTCCCTCTCCAAGAGCTCGCTGAACAGCTGGGAATCCGACTTCACTGCCACACCGTGGGCTCGGGGAGGCCCTGGGGCTACACACAGGTCTCCCTCGGCTGCCTTGGCCATCGTGCCTTCAGGGCCGGTGCTCCCGCAGCCGTCACCGTCTGAGGACACTGCGGGGTTGCCTCCACCATCCTGCTCCGCCCCCCTACCGAGGAAGTGTCTGGCGTAGACACGGGAGACACGCAGGTCACGCAGAGAGCTGCCCTGACACCGCTTCTCCAGGACCTGCAGCACCTTCTGGGCCAGCTCCGCAGGTACCGACAGCTGCATCAGTCCTTCGTCATCCACCTTCGACAGCCACACCCATGGGGGCAAGTTAATCTCGGGCTCGCCACACACCGCATGCCCCTCGTGGCGGCCACTGGCACAACGGACGGAAAGGCTGCACCGCCACAAGGTGCCCAGGGCCAGTCCCCACTGCCACCCTGCCCTGGCTGTCCCCAGCCCGACTCCCACCAGCCCACACCTCCCACCCGCGCTCACCACCCAACTGCAACTGACAGAATGACCCCATGGCTCTCCCTCGCCTGCTCAAACCTCGCTGGACAGTCACTCTTCCAGTCAGGGGACCCTGCCTTTCCTCTCGTCTCCACTCACTGCTCTGCTGGGCCAAGCTCTCTATGCTTTCACCATCCCCACTCACCCTCCCTTTCTGCCCCGTTCAGGCTGTCCCTCCACAGCTCACACTTGCCATCTCCTCTGGGCCTTGTCCCTTTCCTAATGTTCCCTTTGCTCCCCCCTCCCATTTCCCCACTGCAGGCACTGGACCCTACCTGCTCTCCCTGGTGCTGCTGGATGAGACAGCTGATCTCTTTCTGCTCCTGTGCTTCCAGCTTCCTCACAAAGAAGAGCAGCTCCCACCATTCGGCACGGCTCAGTGTCTCTGCAGCCTTGGGCAGCTGCTGCCCTAGGTAAGGCAGGGAGTACAGCCCCCCCAAGGGCTTGCACAGAAATGGCTGTAGAACTGCAGGGGAGGACAGCAAGGAAGGGTACTGTCAGCTCTGCCAGATCCTCCATCCTCTGCTGCACACCCCACATTTCAATTCATATTCCGTGTGGCACATGATGCCTGGAGTTATACACAGAAGTGAAAAAAAGCTCCTGTTTTTCCCAAAAATCAGAAAGACCATGAAAAGGAGAAATCTAAGCAAGTTTGTTTTAAGTTAGACACTGCAAACTTACATGAAGTTAGGCCTTTAACTACAAGAGGCAGAAGCCATTTAAGTAACCATCTTTTCAACTGGCAATAAGAATATTTTCAAAGTGTGCAATTAGCTGCTGATCTCATTAACATTCTCTCTTGCAGCCAGTAAATCCAAACCACTCTGCACAAAAGATATCCCAGAAGATCACAGCTGTGATAAAAGAGTTACTTTAATAGGTTTCCCTGGCTAGAATCATGTCTGATGCTGAACAGGAAAGGGCTATCTGAAGTCTGGCTTCTGCCTTTTATTTTCTCCCAGTACAAGGGCAATGTTAAATGATTCTCTGAAATGCTGTAGATGTCTTGTGAAAACAGATCTTCAATACTTTAACACCTTGTTAAAAGCTTAACCATATGAAATTAAACAAATTGTTGCTGTATTAATGCTTTTAAAAATCCTTGTCACTTACTTAAGGGGACTTGAGTGCCCCCAAACAGCTTCACCTCAGAGAAATTCTAAGTTCATGTTTTGGCAGTTTGGTCAGTTAATTCAAACACAAGGTTTTGACAGGTGCAGTTTAAATCAAATTTTATGGGTTTTATATCATTACTTTTATTATACGTCCTGACAGAAGTCTAGGGTTCAAAAATACTCCATTCAGTCACAAGCCATGCAATTCCTTAACTAGCTTTACATGGTCACACAAACTAACAGTGCTTTCTATACCCAGCCTGCTACTTGCTATGTCTTTGGCCATATAAAAAACCACTCCTATCCCACAAGATAATCAGAAAGAAAGACATGATATACACATGCATCATAATCTCACCTGTGTCCAGATTAAAGCACTTTCTCACACTATATTCCTTTTCCTGAGCAGCAGGATCTTCCCACTGGTCCCCAAAGCCAACAATCTCCAGTATGTGCCAACGCATCCAGTAGGTCCGACCTGTTGATTCCCGTAAAACCTGTGGGTGAAAAAAATCCAGATGATCAGATTTGCTCACTTGTTCAATCCTCTTGCTACATCTGTCTTCACATTTCCCAAATGCCTGGGGACAGGAAGAACTGCTCAAGTAGAAGGCCACACAACTTGTGTACAGATTTCAGTACACACATTGTCCAGTTTTGAGACATACCATCTTTACTAACTTCTTGCCTTGGTTACACCTGGATCTTTATTTTTAAAAATCAATAACTTTGCCTGCAACCACTACAGATCTCACTTAGCACAGCAGTAGAGGCACGAGTGCATCCAGTTAATCACACCTGTTTCAAAAGTGCCAAGATGCAGGTGCCTTGGGAAAAGCGGACAAAGGAAGAACATAACCAATACTACCTCAAGGCAGATGAGAGGTACTTTTATAACCTGGGTCATTCATCAACCTTCTCAAACAGGTTTTGGGCTCTTGACAAGCATGTCTCAAAGGCAGCAATTGTTTCCTCTGCTTTGTCCAAGTTGCCCCTTGTTGGGGATTGAATTTTTCCCATTGTTATGATAAGTCTTTTGGGCTACACCCAAGCACAGATAACTAGTAAGTTTCTCTTGCAGGAGGTGGGGGAAGGGGGAACATCGGAAAAGGAGAGGCGGGATAGGGGTCTGCTCTCTCGGGCTCTGGCTCTCTCGCTCGTCTGGCTCGAAGAAGGACGGTCGCTAAAAACTCCGCCGTCTGCGGGGGAGCTGCCTTCCTTGGCTGTGGGATCCCGCAATGTCCCTGCTCGGACGCTCTCTCTCTCTCCTGCATCTCCTGCCGACTTCAGCACATCCTTTTGGAGCATCGGGATCCGTGAGCAGCGTCTCCCCTCCGCTCTTCCCATATGGGACACAGACCTCATTCACGGCAGCGCCCCTCCAGCCACGTGAAACCACCGCATCTCCTCCCTGCTCAGCGAGAGCTGGCAGGTAGAGCCAGAACGGTGATTGCACCACAGAGGAAAGGTGTCCACGACCAAAAGAACTGTTTACTGGATTTTCTGCTCTGTTGTTATCTCGCAGTTATTGTTGGTGTGTTTTGTTTCCCTTGTTACATATATAAAGATCTGTTATTCCTACCCTCATATCTTTGCCTGAGAGCCCTTTAATTTCAAAATAATAGTAAAGTGAAGGGAGAAGGGTTTATACTCTCCATCAAAAGAAAACAAAAAAAACAAAAACAAAAACAAAAACAAAAACAAAAAAAAAAAACCAAAACAACAAAACAAAACAAACAAACAAAAAAAAAAAAAAAAAAAAAAAAGGCCCCTGTCTCTTTTAGCAAATACCTGTCTTTCAAACCAAGATACGTCTCAAAAATCAAAACTACTTTTTATAGCTTCCCATACCATAGTGTTACATTTAACCTTCTGAGCAGAACCCAGCAACAGCAAGTACAGCATGTCAGTAGCTTCACAAAACAGCAGAAAAACACCTGTTTCACTGAGCTCTTTTGGAGTTACACCAGTGCTACTATGGACCCATTGTACTGGACAGATGAGATGCTGACAGACTTTGGGAAAGCACTGTATGGAAGGGAGTTGAGTTAAACTACACACAACACCAAATGGTCTTCAATGTATCTCTCACCTAAACTAGTTATGTACCAAATGCCATCTCAAAGGAGTCATGGAAAGATATGGCTGCAGGACCAGACACAGCAGTGAAATCCTTTCTTTGGAGAGGCAAGGAAAGCAACAGAAATCAGAGCAACAAAAGATGAGACAAGGTAAGAGACAGACTCATGACGGACTGGCCCAATTGCCATTCAGATCTGTTTTTGTCAACAGTGTAAGCTTTACAAATAACTTACTGAAAATAAGCCTGGATGGACCAATTGCAAATTCATTCAACCTAATTAAATAGAAAAATAGAAGAGGGAACCCAAGGGACCAACAGAATAAAGGCAATGGAAGCTAACAGAATACTTTATCTCAACATTGAAGTGAAAACCCTTTGAAATTTATGTCACTGGCAACAGGAGAAAAATATGAAAGGATCTTGGTGCTCTTTCCAAGTGTCCAGTCCATTAAAAGCAAGT